AAACGCAGTCCATCTCTCTTGTAAAGTGACAGGAATCAGCTCGTCCCATCCAGTCTTCAACAGCCATAGCTCCTGCAATATGATTTTCGCTCTTATTATAATAGGCGAAATCAGCTCTAGAGGATCATACAACTTGGCTATGTCCGAGGCAATTGCTCTCTTCGTGAAGGTGATATTGCCTGGAACTGTGGAAAAAAAATGCAGAGTGTCAGAAAATGGCCGCCAAACGAGACCCAGAAACTTGCAAAAGGTAGGATCGATTTCTATGTCGGTAGGTCCCCCTTCTTTCTGGTCAGGGAGAAGATCAGGATAGTTGCTACTCCATTCATGCAAGGGAAATCCTCCTGCTTCGCAAAGCCCCTTCACTTGCTGTATAATATCCTTAGCTTCTAATGTCGTATCAGATCCCCCATAAATGTTGTCGACGAATCTGCCCTTCTTCATAGGAATGATTGCTTTAGGAAAACGATGACCTTCCTCTTTCACCAATTGCTCTAGAGCTCTCAACGCCAGGAAGGGTGCACATCGTAGTCCGTAAGTCACTGTAGTAAGGCAGTAGGCGAGAAGCTGTTGTTCCGATCCGATCCATAATATTCTTTGTAGGTTCCAATCGTCCTGGTGCACAGCTATCTGACGGAACATTTTAACTATATCCGTAGAGAATAGAACCTTATGGGTACGTATCCAAAGCAGAATATCGCATATGTCAATTTGAAGCTTGGCACCGGCGTGTAGAATATCGTTTAGCGAGAGGCCATTGCTGGTAGGGCTGGATCCGTTAAAAACCACCCTGAGTTTCGTGGTTCGATTATTCTCTCGTAGTACCCCATGATGGGGAAGATAATTCACCACAGAAGTCTGAGCGGAGGAGGCGTCAACCTCTTTCATGTGACCCATCTTCAAATACTCCTCTAGAAAGTGTTCGTAAAGTTGTTGAAAAGTACTTTGATTTGAGAATCGTTGAAACAGGTTCTTAAGACAACCGAGAGCCTTTGCTTTAGAGTCCCCCAAAACCGACGGATTGATTTTTAGAGGGAGTCGAACCACATATCTGCCCGTTGCATCTCGTGAATAGGTTGTTAGAAAGTGTCGTTCGCACTCCTCTTCCTCCTCAGTTAACTCTGCTATAGTCGACTTAGGAATTTTTTCTTGTGTCCAGAATCTGGAAAGAAGATCTTGTAATTCTTGATCCGGTGAACAATGATGTGCACGCGCTGAAACAGGTGTCTCGGCTGCTGACATAGGGCCACAGAGGACCCATCCGAAGATGGTTTGCTGTGCCGTAGGCGAGGAAGAATCGCCTGGTATCATGCCTTGTCGTATCACGACATGAAAATTGTCTGATCCTATTATGACCTGTATTGTTCCAGAGACGTAGTATTCCGGATCGGCTAACTAGAGTCCTGATATATGAGGCCAGGTTGGAGCACTAACGCTGCACGATGGTAACTTCGCCGTAAGACGTGGCAATATGAAAGCTCGTATTTGACATTGTAACGCTGAGTCATGAATGGAGTGCAGTTGTATGAAAACACTCCCTTTTGTATGTCCGGAATAAGTGCCACCAATTCCGAGAAGCGGTATTGATGCGGCCGTCCTAGTGAGTTGGGCTCGTTGCACTAGATCTTCCGTGATGAAAGATAACTCTGATTCCTGATCGATCAATAAACGCACCGGATGGAAATTCCCGTTACTCTTCCTTACCAAAGCTCTACTCGTCGCAAGTAAAGTAAGCTTTCTCGTACGATTTGCCTGTTCGGTTTGGTGTGCACATGTCTTTAATTGTCAGTCAATAGTTACTGATGGATCTGACTTCTCCTCAGATTGATTGGCCGGTTTTGCCGGCGTACTAGTAGGTGTGGTTAAAGTTTCTCGTTGATTCTCGTGAAGAGTCGTATGATGCTTTTTCCCGCATTTTAGGCATCGCGTCACGGAGGTGCACTTCTTAACTAGGTGAAGTGCGAGGCAATTGAAGCATCTTTTATGTCTGATGACAATCTCCTTACGCTGTTTAGCCGTCTTCGATTGATAACGTTCACATTTTGCTAGATAGTGCAATGATCCGCATAAAGGGCAAGCAGACGCTGCGGTATGCGCCGCGACCTTCGAATAAGGTTTTCCTGAAGTGGAAGCAGCCGACGGTCTTTGAGTCATATTTGGATTGAGATTCTCCATAGCTCGTGTTCGTCCAGTGAGAAATTCCTCAAATTGTTCGAGGGTTGGATAAGTAGTAGAGGATCCTTGCTTGACCTCCCATGCTTCTCGTGATTCAAGATCAAGCAACTTCACGACTTGGTGAAGCAATAACGGATCCCATTTATCTACCGCACATCCCAGTGAGCGAAGAGCCGCAGTCGTCTCCGATACAGTGGTCATAAAATTTCGAAGGCCTATTGCATTCTTCGTCTTGAGTGGCTTCAGACTCGTTATCTTGTCTTAATTGCGCCTCGATCAAAAATCGTGTATTCTCATACCTCGATACCAACAAATTCCATGCAATTAAGAAGTTGTCGCCGGAGACATCCAGATTGCCTATCATTCGTGCGGCTTCATCTTTAACGCATGTTTTCAGGTAATGCATTTTTTCGACATCCGTCAGATAGAAGTTATTTTTTATCATAGAGGTAAAAGTGTCATGAAACGTTCTCCAGGTTGGGTAGTCTCCGGAGAAAATCGGCAGCTGAATGCGCGGTAATGCACTGCGTGGCAGTTGCGACGTGGACGCCCCTTGTTGCGATGTGGACGCCTCTTGTTGCGGTGTGGAAGCCCCTTGTGGCGGTGGAGACGCTCCTTAATCTAAAAGCGACGATCTGGAATGTCGATCAGCTGTATCGAATTCTTCTAGCTGGGTGAATAACATGGCACGAGCATAAACATAGAAGGCTTGACAGCGTTCGTATATGCGTTCTCTCAAGTAAGAATGGTCTCTCAGATCCTCGCTGGCGGATAGGCATAGGTTTTCATGCTTTTCTTGAAATTTATTCCAATTCTGCTCAAGCATATCCAGGCGAGCACTGATCAGATGTCGATTC